CTTTTTTATATATAACTCAAGGCAGCAAACATACCTAATACTCCTTCCTCCTCCTATTTTCCCCACAAGAACAACCCTATGAGGTGGGTTGGGCTGAGAGAGAGTGACTGATCCAAAGTCACCCAGCCGGCTTTCATGCCTAAGCGCATAAATATGATACACTTTAAGGTGATTTAAAAGATAAGTTGAGAACTAGTATTTGTAACAATGCTGTGAACAGCATCTTTGCCAATGTACAAGCTCATATCCCAAACGTTTTGTTATGCTTATGATGCTGAAGTTAAATTATATTAGTCAATACTGACTTTAAACTTCAGCACATTTGTGTGATTATTTCACTAAAAATTATATACTTATTTGGTGAGTTTTACTATTTTTCTATTGCAAAAAGATGATTAGATATTTTTCATTTAACCATATTTGAGAAAGAACATACGTATGCATTTTAATTTATTTTTGTTAATTTTCTTTAGTTAAATAGAAAACCTTAGAATTAAACATATAATGAGCAAATATAAAAACAAGACACATTTAAAAATTATTTATGAGAAGGTGAAACAATCCTAGACTTTTAGTTCTCATTTTTCAAGTATATGACAAGGTACTAATGTCACCCTGAACTCATATACTGGATTTATTTTCCCATATTACTTCTGGTAAAAAATTAACAGAAGTTCAAAACTATGGTTTCGGCTCCCTAAAGTAGGTGGACCAGTATCTAAACCATGATTACCTTTGCTAAATTATTTAAACTTCTTTGTGATCTTTTGGGGCATATAAAGAATTGTTTATCTGTGAAAACAAAGGGAATATACTATTTTATGTGGCATTGCCACTATCAGAATAAATTTGAAGAATTGGACTATTAACCAGTAAACTGTACCAGCAGAAGTTATATATAAATCTAAAACATATCTGAAATTTGAATTTGTCAAATTTAGAATCTGCTAAAAGATAAGTTTGGTTCTTTCTTCCCTATTTTTTCCAACTGTGAAGATAACCTCCTCCCCCTCCCCAAAAATCACAGTTTTTTAAAATGTAAGAACTGTCATGTTTCCCTTTATCTATATTTTAAACATTCCTGCTCAAGAATTGGGACCTTGGAAACTGAAATTATATATTTCAAATTCACTTCTAAGAGAATCTATACCTCTATGTACATCTACATCTATGTATTCAAAGGGGCTGGCCACATCAGTCCCATGATCCTGACATCCTGCAAGTGTATTTGGACTATAATTGCTAAGTTCCCAGCCATATGGTTTTTGAAAGTTGGCTAAGAATGTTGAGGCTTGTAGAACCAACAAATCCAGAGGGTGCCAAGTATGGAAAAATGCTATATAATCAAATATGGGCTAAAATATTGTATAGTAGTAATATTACAGTAGATGAAATACTGACACACAGACATTTCTTAGAATAGTATAATTTAGTCTAATGTCATTTTACCTGACTAAAAACAGCATGACATGGTTCTGGAGTAATAACTTGATTTCATTTTTTTTCTTCTCCTTTTTAAAGTCATAAATGAGATGTTCTGTAGAACTTTCAGAAAATTTCCAAGCTGTCTTTGTCTTCTTGGCCTGAGTTGAAGTGCTTGATCTTCCCTTCTTTTCATGTCTCAGATTTGTCATTGAAGCAAAATAAATTCTTCCCATATTCTTTTTGGAGCACTGTCTAGCTCTTAACCCTCCAGTTCAGATCTATCATTGTGCAATAATACTGACCAAAGGTGCAGGTCATACAAATAATTTAGATTACTCATGGATCATTATTTAATCATTGCCAGAAATGGAGACAAAAGGCCCCAGGCCTTTTCTTCCATGTTCAAAAGAAGGTACAGCTACTTAGTGTAGGTGCCATCCTTCTTCATTTTTAAGAAAGCTATAGAGTAAGTAAGTAAAGATTTTATCTTTCCCCTTTCAATCTGTTTTTAATGCTCTGTCACTCAAATGCTGACATCCATTGCAAGATATTGATTCTACAACCCTCTTCACTTTATCTTCCTTTTCAGAGATTCCCTTCAAACAAAGTCTCTTTCCTGTTAGCATTGTGTCAAGGGAAATGGATATATCCAAACTATCCTCTTTATATATGAATCAGCCTTTCCAGTTTAGAACCTGTGCAAAAATGTGGGAGGGAGGGGTGCCCAAGCTACTACAGAATTCAAAATTAGAAGCTTGTTCCTTCCAGGAACAGAAAGATTCCTCACACCATAAAATCATACAGTGATTTTCAATCTCTTCTCTGTTTCATTTCCATGCTGCTATGGTGAAAGCCTGTTTTGTTCTAGAGTAAAGCTTCCCTCAGGCTGTATTCATCATCCTAGAGAATACAATCCATGGTCCATTGTAAAAGGGAAGAACATTGTGGTACCCTTGCTGCCAAATGCAAAGCAACATTTGATCACATTTTAAAAACTACGTAGGAAGAAGATATCCTGTTATGGAAATCATAAATTACAGCTTTTTTTTTTTAAGTCATTCAAATCCAAACTTTTTTTTTTTTTTGGTCTAGTTAATGCCATGCATTTTTAACTAGGTTGTTGTTTCCTTTTGGTATTCATGCAGTCATATAGGCCAAAGACAGCTGCTGTAAAAACACTGAGGGCAATGCTGAATGATTAATGCTTTCTGTCCTTCTCAAAATAGGTTATACTTCTAAAGAACCAATGTTATACATGAACATTAACCACTTAAAAACCAATTTTTCCCTGAATCTTTTACAGATTTTTTTTTCATTATTGGGAAATGGACTGGAGGTTGGAAGTGTGTTTCAGATATGATCTTATGGAGCTAGGCTTGGGGAGGGAAGAGTAGCTTTCTTAAGGGGCCATTTTTCAGGAAGATGCCCATAGCTTTGTAAAAAGAATGGTATGCTTTGCATACATAGATTAAAGTTTCTCTCTTGGCATCTCCAAGTAAAAGGAATTCCACAACACTGAAATTAAAAAAAAAAAAAAAGACTTCAGCTTGCTAATCAAAAGGGACAATATTAGGCTTGATCTCTCAATGACCTGATTCTAATTATGGCAGTTTTATATAGAGAGAGCATGGGAATAATAAGCATGGTATTTATAATCTTGATCCAGTTGCTGTTCTTGCACTCTTCCTGTACAACTAAACTCACTTTCATATCTAGTCTGAGATGAAACTCTTGCATTAGCTTGGTCAAGCCTTGGCATTCCTCTTTTTTGGCTTTCCTGGCCTGACCATTCTCAGAGGCCATTTAAAGTGATAGGACAAGAGAATCCTATAACCTCTTTCTGATCTTGGAATACGAAATTCAATATATACTGTGGCCTTTGGGGTACCATTCCAGGGGACAGAACTGCAGCCTAAGAATTCTTTCAGTATATTCTATATTGTAATTGGCAGCTTCTTCCAGCATATTCCTTGTCATTGGTCAATTCCACCAATCCATGCCCATGTGTGGGAAGGCAGAAGGTACCACTGAATCAGCAATGGCTTTGGGGGGGGGGGTAATAGGAGACAGTTAACAGACCTTCCCATAGAATGACCTTCCATCAGTGGTATGCCAGATGCTGACATGTAGTACTTTATGCTAGTGTTCCTTGGCCACTAAGTCTCCCTGAGATATGTTCTCACTAGCACTGGGCAACCATTTGCCCTATGGTATGTTTCTAATAATTTTCATTTTAAAATTTGGTGTAATGATTAAAGCATCAGGCTAGAAACCAGGAGCCCATGAGTTCTAGTCCCGCCTTAGGCACAAAATCAGCTGGGTGACCTTGGGCCAGTAATATCCTCTCAGCCCTAGGAAGCAGGCAGTCGTGAACCATTTCTGAAATACTGCCAAGAAAACTTCACGGACTTGTCCAGGGAATCGCCAGGAGTCAAGATGGACTCAAAGGCACCCCCCTATATATAGAGTCATGTATATGAGATAGGCAGCTATATTGAGAAATAAATAAATAAATAAATAAATAAATAAATAAATAAATAAATAAGATGGGTTTGTTCTGGTTTGTATTCTGAAATTTGTGACTCATTTAAACAGCTTTACAACTTTTTTGAAAAGACAAGTCATATAAAAATACTTAAATACATAATGTCAGAACAGTCTGACATTAATAGTTGATTCTTAATGCTGTGGAACTTTATGACCTTGTGTTTATAAAGCAATAGTGAACTGTATAAAGAAAATAAAGTCTGAGTCATGTATTGCAACATGAATATAATTGAATTAACATTTCCATGGCAGCAATGTAATAATGCGTCATTTTATAGCATCCTCAGACTGACTGACTGACTGACTGACTGACTTACTGACTGACTGACTGTCTGTCTACCTACCTACCTACCTACCTACCTACCTACCTACCAATCACATTTGCATCCACTGCAATCAGTATTTGTAGCATACATATGGGTAATACATATATACAAGCATTATCAGCCAAGAGAGAACATGCAAAAATCAGAGGATTTTTTTTCTATCTCTTTTTTGCCAAGGAAGTTCATAAATATTGAGCCAATTCCATGTGAAGCCAAGGGAAGTTCACCCATCACTCCTCATTACTGAAATGATATATTTAGGTTTCATAGATTTCTCACTTTGGGCTCAAGAGAAGGATAAATTAACTTAAACCTTTAATACGGTATAAATGTTGCCTTTGCACAGATTGTTTATGTATGCCAGGCAAGCCATCTGGTTTAATAAAGAGCTATCATTACTAATAAATACTGCTATGTTTGCTTTTGAGAGCAGAGATGAAGAGTTTGTTAATTGTTGGCATGCTATTTTATTTATTGTCACTATGTTTATTATTCTTTCCCTAGGTTGAACACCTAACATAATTTCCAATTAAGTATTTTGAAATAGTTTTCCATTAGCATTTCCTGATTTCTCAAGGATTTACTTCCAGATTTTTTTTTAAAAAAAGATGAAAATTTAATTAATAGATACAGTGTTTGTCCTTTAACAAGAAAGACAAGAGTTACTATATAATGTATTAATTCTATCTTGAATATTCATAGGGTGAGCCTGGAGAAGCTGGTAACCCTGGGCCACCTGGAGAAGCTGGCTCAGGTGTAAGTATTACTTTTTTTTTTTCACTAGGATTTGCAAAAGTGATTGTTGTGTAGCTTCTCTACACTAATTTGACACAGTGGCATGTTCTGTTTCTTTCTGCCAGAATGTATGGATAATTTCTTTATTTCATTCATAAATCTATCAGGAATGGTCTCTTATTAAAATTGGTGTTTCAGACATAGTCTTAGTGATGAAAGGAGTTTGATTTGCTCTATACAACAAAGATCTTAGGCAGACTTTTTTATTTCAAAACTAAGTGTTTCAAGTGTTAGGGTCTGGTCCATTTGGTTATGCCTTTTCTACCTGTTTTTCTGACTCATATCACCACTGAGCCTTTTTCATATTGATCTTGAGAAGTGGAATTAGACTGATGTGCTATTGTAATCTTGGCTTACTTACCCAAACCCTTATTCTGGGTATTTGGACAGACCCTCCAGTTACTTCTAACTTCTGACCTACCGCTCTAAATTTGTCCTTCATCAGCATTTCCCTTACAGTTACAACTCAGATTGAATTTCATGGGAGAAATTCAATTGCGTGTAGTCCCATTCAGTTTGAGGTAGCAGTTTTAATTAATCATAGAACAGAGTTCTTAAATATTAGCATCATAGTTCTACATATAAATTCAGAAAATCTTTTCACTCAATGACATATGAACAGTTCTATAATTAATATACAGTCATTTGCACTTAAGTTCATTTTAAACTGATCAGCAATGGACTTCTTTTCTGAACAGATGCTGTTGTGCAATTTTGGAGTGCTCCCTCCATTTCTCTACCCAGAATATATTGCTTCAAAAATGTTTCCAATAAAAACATGACTGAGGTTTTTATTGATGATTTTTTCTTCCTTACTCATTTTAAGCAATCTATATATCTATTAAGAACTATTCTCTTTTCCAGGGTCCAAAAGGTGAAAGGGGTGAAAAAGGCGAAGCTGGGCCACCTGGAGCAGCAGGACCTCCTGGAATTAAAGGACCTCCAGGTGATGATGGTCCAAAGGGAAATCCAGTGAGTGAACTTACTAATTAAAAAAAAATATTAAGACTTAATTATAAATATAATTGAGCTCCCTTTCATTTCACAAGTGTATTATTTTCAATGCTCTCTAGAACAATTCTTAGTGCTCTCAGGAAGTCCTGCTGTATAATTTCCTAAATTTCTTACTATTAGTCATGCTTGCTGAATTTATAGAAGGTGTATTCCAAAATATCATGTGAGCATCAGGTGAACTATTTTTGTTTTAGAAACTGCATCTTTCCACAGTATATATGTCAATAAAAAATTCTTATTTACAATTACTTATTCGTGATGCTCATCAGTTTTACCTTGTTTTCTCTTTCTGTAGGGTCCTGTTGGGTTCCCCGGTGATCCTGGACCACCTGGAGAACCTGGTCCAGCTGTAAGTATTTTGAAAATAAAAATGCTTTACCAGGTGAAGTGAAACTCTCGCTGGCTTCAGTTGATATTGGATATGGCCTTTGATTTTGAGAAATTTATTCTGTTGCACCTATATGCCCTGACCAAAACACTGCTTCATGGGTCTGAAATTGAAAGTACCTTGCTCCTTCTCTTTTCCAGGATTCAGTGTTATGCCTGTCTAAATATTATTTTCATATCAACCTGTGCAGGAGTGAGGCACAGAGACTTTCTTGATATCAACTAGTGATTGCACTGGCTTACTGGAAAATTGAATCTTGATCTCCTTGTTCCAGTATAGTATTCTGATTATTACACCATACAGGATTTTTGAGGAAGTGAACCAGTATAAAAAACATTGCAGTTCTACAGCTAAAGCTAAACAGAACTTGCCATGAGAGGCTGTCTTGGAATAATATGCAAATCACTGAGATATGTAGGCAAACATAGGCTATGTATATATAACTAATATTGCTGTCATGGTTCTTAAAAAGAATTTCTTCTATCTGAATAGAATATACAATTCAAGCATGATAAATTATGTGAATGTTATCATTTTATTTCATCGCCTGCCTGCCTGCCTGCCTGCCTGCCCGCCTACCTAGGGAACTGATGGTACAGGAGGGGAAAAAGGTGAAGATGGTGATCCAGGCCAACCTGTAAGTAATATCTTTGCAACAATAATCCTGTTGATTGTATTGTATTAACTGAGGATGATGGAGATTATATTTCAATCATGTCAGGATTATGTGGGAAAGTAAACCTATGAGAAAGCCAAGGGTTCCTTAAGGCATGTCTTCTAAGATTGAAAGTTCCTTTCTGGAGCAACTCAAAACAGTTGCTCATGTTTACTTATTTATTTTTTCCTATTTATCCATGAGGAACATTGATAAATAAGCATTTGAATAAGCAGTTAGCATTAATACAACTTTCTCCTAAATGGAGACACTTCATACCTCTGAACAAGTCAATACGCATATCTATATTTTCCTAGCATACTTTTGTTGGTTTTCTTATCTAGTATCAGTTGATGATAGACGCCTTGGTTACTAAATAAGTATATACATAATAATTCCTGAAGATCTTTTAGCAATCCTGTTTGAAAATGGGTAATTTGGGTATTTTATCATTTCAGGGACCCCCAGGTCCTTCTGGTGAAGCAGGTCCCCCTGGCCCTCCTGGGAAGAGAGTAAGTCAAGTTTCTCTATGCCTGATTTTTTGTTTGTTTGGCAGTTAATCTCAGTTTTATTTTTTGTTTAAACATATTTTTGTTTAAACATGTTCAGAATTGAAGGAGGCTATCAATAAGATAGGTAGAACAATTTAGGTACACTCTAGTGATTGTACTGGCTCAAGTGCTCATTAATATGTGGGAAAACTCTTTTTTCCTTTTAAGAGTTTTCACCATCTGTTACTAAGATTCTTCTGCCTGCCAGATTGCCATCCATTTAGTATACTAAATTTCATCTGACTTGTAACAGCATGCACAATTTATTTCACACTTCACCACATTGCCCCCCAACACAGGCAGAGGTGCTAGAGGAATTTTTTATCTGAGAATTTGGCAACTTTCACATTTATGCACAAAATTCAGCTATTCAGCTATCATGCCATATTTTGTACTTCTTTGAACAACTTGACAATTTAAATCTATCCAAATATTAAATTAAATTTATGAAATACATATTTTGAACATTGGTTTTTTGCAACATGGCTTAATGCAGATACAGAATGGAATCATAAAACCATATGAAACTGACATGGACAAGAAGTAAGCAGAATGATCCATTCCTAAACAAGGTCTACCAACTCTCTACAGCAGGTTTTCACCCTGCATTCTTGCATCCTAGAGAAAACAGATAGATTGTCAAACACATGGCAAATTATAACTCAACAGCTTTTGAACTTTGTTCAGCATAATGAATTCACAATCTTGACAATTATATCTGTTTGGAGAAATATAGTCTGTTCTGTGTTCTCCCCCGTCCCCAATATAGTTCCAAGAAATATATAGGTATTATATGCCACCAATCATAGCAAATTTTAACGTAACACAATTAGCAAATTCATGAACAGGTGTTCTGTTGTTTTATTTAGCCAGAAGATCTTCTTCCTTAGCATTTCTAATGAGATGATTGTAAAGAAAATCAACTCGATCTAGGTGCATTCTTATGGGAAAGCATCTTATATTTGGTATACTTTCAAAGATTACGAGGTAGTAAATGCTGTGCTCCTTCGTGTTATTTACTTACATTTACTAGGAACATAGCATGTGATGTGTTTTGAAAATGTGTGGTTTCCAAGCGTACTTACTAAAATTGGGCATTCATTGTGGGAAAAGGTACATCAAAAGAATCTCTTGGTACCCACTGACCTCTATCACAATAACTGCACTTAACTGAGGTTCATCAGCAGGGGTGGTAATAAACAATTATTCTACGTTAGAGCAGCATCAACAGTGCTTTGAAACAGTAATTTGTTTCAGTACATTATATATGGAGTGTAAGCCAATTTTATATTTTAGGAGACCCTAGTGCAAATGAATGAGTATTCAGCTCCTACTGCTCCATCTTTTTTTTTTCAAAGTCTGACACTCTGAAAAAGAAAAAAAGGCAGTTGCTTGTTTAGGGAATGGTAATTCATTTCAATCAGGACAACAGGCTTTGATCCATTTAATTAGTATTTTAATCAACAAAATCTTTAGCTGATTCATCTAATAAGACAATGGGGGACAAGTTTTAAGCAGCAGGTCTATGATTTTAGGGCATCCTCTTTTTTTTTAAGTATTGTTTGGTTCTGGTGGTTTACCAACCAGAGTAACAATTAAAATCTAATAAATGATGCCTTCTTCTCCTACACTGAGAGTAGTTTTTGTTTGATTATATCATAAATTATCATACATCTGCACAATATGATGCTCAAAGGCCTCCTGGTGGGAAAATGAAGTTAGTTGATGCCCTCAGCATCTGCCTTGTTCTGTATAATGGTTGAGCACGCCTGATTTTGCCAAATATTAATCAAACACACTGCAGTTCGACCCCATTGCGTATGTTACTAGGACATTTGTCCCAGAAGGGCAACCATTTTGCCAAGGTTACTGAGTAGCTGATTCCCTGCATTGGCCACATTATTGCTTTTATAAATTTCCTACTCTATTGTCCTCTGAAAGGTAGTAATATACCCCAGATTCTCAGGTCTCTTACCAACATTCTTAATGCAAAGAAGACTATGGCTGGGATGCAACAATATTTTATTTTTTCTGAACACCTGGGACACGGCTATACATGACCTCTTATGTTTTATCTATCAGCTCTGTCTTTTGTGTGTCTTGAGATAGGCAGAGGCAGTACACACTGGAAGTAATATCCTGCGTTTAAATAAAAGAGGGCTTCCCTTTGATGAAACTTCATAGCATCCCCTTGAAGCTGCTTCATGATGCAACAGTGGTCATCTTACTTCAAAAACAAAAAATCACGTTGCTTCATTCTGGCCTGCTTCTGTGCCCCTCAATCTTCTCCTTATGGGGACTCACATTATGGGACAAAGCTAGGTGGAACCTTTTTCAACAAGCATTGCAGGAGAAAACCCAGAGGAAAGGAAGGACCAAAAGCCCAGCCTAAACTTCCCTCATTATACAATAAAACTCTTGCAATCTAGGCAGCTTCAGCTGGAAGTTCTTCAGACAGTGCCATGGGAGAAAGCTGAGAGAAGCCTGTTCAACAGTACCATCCTTAAGTGATTCAAGGTCATGGAAATTGCCTTGTTGAGGTGAATCACCTGGCTTCCTTGCTTCAGCAAACAAATCAGACACTTCTACAGCCTGAATCACTTCACTGAAGTGAATCTTTGTTGTTTCATATAGATGTAAATGTTACTGCACTAGTGATTTAAAGCATTACTCAGCCATTGCTGTGACAATAGAAAGCGTGATTTTTTTAATGATATATTAACAATGGCTGGATGACACTATAAATTGCTAGTGGGGAAATGATCACGGATGCGTGGTAATTGTTACTATGGAGTACAAAACTTAATTAATTACAAGAACAATAAGAGGAAGAGTACATACAATAAGGAAACACTTTAAAGGGCCATTAAGAGAAGCATATTATCTTTCTACTAAAACTCTTGAGGAAAGCTACAAATTATTAGGTGAAAAAAGCAGGAGAAATAGACATTTGCTTAATTTACCATTGTTTTCTGATTTTTTTAAAGCACAGACTACAATTAAAACCTTTAAAATGAGTCAGGGATTATATTAACTTTAGACTCTAGTTTAATTGCTAGGCTTGTTCTAAAATTGAAAATCATAACTTCCATGTCCAAATGGAAAACTAATTAAGTGCCTTCCACCTTCAGCCATGAGGTGAACAGCAAAAAGGCTCTGTGGTCATTGTGCATCATTTTACTAAATCAGCTAAAATTTGACTTTGTAACCTGAGCCACTAAAATTGTAATTTAATAAGTTGCCATGCAGGATGCATATCAGGTTGACAGATGTGTGCTTCATTCTTGTATGATATCTTTATGGCAAAAGTTGTATTCCTCATTCGTATTCCTCATTCTCCCGGGCTCTGGCTAGGATAGATGGAGCCTCTTGTTGAGGGCATGCTCTGTGTGTTGCTAACTGGATTCACCATTTTGTTTATTGCTACATGTTTTGTTGTTTGATGCTATTTTGATGTTTCGTTCTTAATGTTGGGAGCCATGCAGAGTCTATTGGAGTCAGGCGGTGTCTAAATTGAATTGAAATAAATTAAATAAATAAAAATATAATACCCCCCCCCCCCAAAAAAAGTTTGTTTGCCTCAAAACCAGAGAAGATGAGATTGCCATAAAGGACATTCACATTTCTTTTCTAGATAAATGACAATTAGTGGTATTGCTAATTGAGAATATATTCTAATATTTATTGCCGGTATAGTCTCATTTCTCACTAGAGGAGCAAGCCAGGCACTTGGGCGATCAGATGCATGGGTAGTGTCCATAGCAGTGCCCTGTACTGAGGAAAGAGTTGGGGTTAGGAACTTCCCATTATCTCTGGTAGAACATTTAAAGTCTACTAACATTTCACAAGGATAGGTAATCATGGGTGTCTGCAGAGGGGTAAGAAGAAAATGACCTCACATGTGTCATGATGTCATCATGCAGGTTATGTGAATTACATATTGGGCTTAATTTGCAGTCAAGATGCGACTGATGCAAATTACATTATTTGGGTCATTTGTGTAATGGCATTACGCTGCATGTGATGTCATTGTGGCTTCAACCAGATGCCTATGGAGGCCTTGATGAAGGAAGACAACTTATATATATGTAGAGCTTGAGATGGTTGGAGGCTTACAGGAGGAAGGAGGTTGCCCCTTTATCCCATTTTACATATAATGAGGTACACTTTAATCAGTTCAGCTTGGAATATTCTGAAAGGAAAGGAAAGTGTTTCCCTGCACTTGAGTGTGTGGTTTACACAATACATTAATTTTCAACACATTGTTTTAAATGGAGTTTATCCTAAGTCAGCTTATGGTGTAAGATGGAATAATGTTTAGTGCCAAATAAAAAGTAATGACTTCAGAAAATAATGTTTCAGGAACACCCAAAAAGTTGATAGGCCTGCAGTTATCCTACTATCATTAGTCTTTTTGAAGACTAATAGATACCCATCCTGAATAATCTCTGCAGGCATGTGAACATCTAAGCCTTATTTGTCAGGCAATTAGTTGATTTTTAACAGTTTTTAAAACATACAGCAGCATTAAATATAAGCTGTAATCTATTTAGCAAAATGAGATAAACCGTTCTATATAATAGGCTTGAGTGAACTGACATGCTTAATTAGTTTTATCTATTTTACACAATAATCTATTTGTTCCACCAATTTACTGAACATTTATAATGCTGGAAACAATTACAGTGGCATTAGTAGTCTTTTCAACAGAATTGGAATAAGACTTACTTGAAGATTCAACAATGAAGAAGTTTACTACAGTCAAGCCAAAACATTTCTTTTCCAATATATTTTTGTTACATCCAAGTCCAAGACAACAAAAGAAAGTGCAACTTTTTTTTTTTTTTTTTGGAAGATGTCAGGAGCCTACATTTCTTATTTCTTTCATGGAGCTTTTGTGATAAGGTCAGGGGAACTCTTGAGCCATGTGAGCAAAGGACTTTGCAATACTTAAGAATGCT